TACAATCAAACAAGTGGTCGTTCAATTCCAGAATAATTTGCTTCAATTTCATATCACTTTTTAAGCCGATGATAGCGACAGCTCTTTCCTTTGATGTATTGGTTATTATCTAAGACAAAACACAGTGGGCCCAGAAGACACCTTCAATTTGCATCATTACGATAACCTCTTACCTCAATGGCTCTCCTGTTTGCATACTTGGGCTCTTCCTCCTCTTAGTTAGTTAGTTGTTTAGTTAGTTATTTAGAGAGGGTGGGTTTCCCCATGCACCGCGACCAGTTTGATCTATTGTGCTTCCCTCTATGATATTCTACCAGTCTCTATACCCTACCGATAAATGGTAGGTACCATCAGTCCCGCCGAGCAAACGAGTTCGGCCACTTGCTTAGCGGTATCTATAATGCTTCCCCCCATCTATCAGATGCCTTAGAGACTATTGTTGGGCGGGAAACGTCCTGGAATTTGGCTCAGTGATCTCCTTTGGAGATATGAGGTTCTTTTACGTGCCGTAAAGCTACGACACGGGACCCACGGCTTAAAGTCCCTCCCGGAGGACTTGTTCCCTGAATTTTTCCGCCCTTAAAAATTCGACGACCTCCGCCGGGTATTTGAACCCGCGTACCACGAGTCATGAGGTGAGAACTTTACCTCTAGACTACGGAGGCCGCTTCCTCCTCCTATTGGTTCTAGTGTTCTAGTGAGAGGTATGAGCAGTAGGAAGGCACCATCCGACTCAGCTCTGAAGGCGAATAGTGGAGGAGCGACAGCAGTGACACCTTACACCGACGCTAGGTAAGATGGGTGCAGCCACCAGCCTTCTTCAGTACTCAGTCGGGCATTAGAAATACAGTGTCATCGAAAAAATGCCGGGATTATAAAAACCTATGAATCAAATTAAATATATCCGCGTGATTTAAGTGTTAAGTTGCTAAGAAATGTCTGTAGTTTTTGTCTTACCTTAGTATGTTTCGATATATCCTCCATTATTCGTACTGCCGATATCGAGACCTTATTCAATCTCGTGTCAAGTCCGCTGAATCGTATTTGGAGTTACGTTGCAATGGCTGCTGTGATCCTATGCCGTAGGTGCCAGAGATCCTGAACCTGGTCACCATACACAATGTTCTTGACGTATCCCCACAAAAAGAAAAGTCAGTGGGAGTAAGTTCTGGGCTTCTGGGATGCCAGATATTTGTTCGCGATTCCAAAATATAGGCCTTGAACACAAGTTTTATCGATTGGTCAACAGACAAAAGCATCTCAACGTCCCTCGCTACCTACCATCAACTGAGAATATCCAAAACGTACGTTCTTTCGCCGCCATTTTAAAATTTGAATCATTTCGATATATTTAACGATTTTTTAACGATAGGTCTTTTTTAATTCCGGCATTCTTTCTCGGTGGTTCTGTATACGTTTGTTATAGCGTGGATGACAGAATTGTGTTAAAACAAACATATCTGCGCCTAAAGTTGTGTGTACTTAGCTGGCGCCTGCCGTGAAAATTTGCGGTATTTGGGTCAGCCACAGACACAGGGAGATGGACTGATAGCATACTGCCATTTCCTGTGCAATGAATGGGGAGTGTGAGGTTAAGCTATGGATTCTCCCTTCATGAGTTAGAATCAGCTCTGTTTTGATAGACTGGTAACTGGACACACACCTCTTGCTGACCATTATTCCGCTATGAGATCTACTGACCGAAAAATGGAGTCGTATTTCTGTAAGGTCGTTGCAAATCTTAATATCCGAGTCAGGAGAAGAAAAATCCCGATCTCCTACAGATAAAAACAAATAAACTTCCTAAGAACTTTGTCACAATAATTAATAAAGCGGAATTTCTAAGTGACCATCCATGTTGTCTAGTGGTCAGAGTTTCTGGCTACAGATCCAGAGGTTCCAAATTCGATTCTCGGCGCTACCAAATTTTCCGAGAAGTAGTGGGTCTGGAACGGGGTCCACTCAGCCTCGTGAAGATAATTGAGGAGCTACATGAAAGGAAAAGCAGAGGCTCCGGTCTAGAAAACCGAAATTAACCGCCGTAGGGATTCGTTGCGCTGACCACGCGACACCCTCTGTCCGCTAATGTTGGCACTAACTTCGCCGACAAGCGGCGATCCCTTGGTCGGTATAGTTCGCCTGTGGACTAAATAGCCGCGGAGTTTGTTTTTAATTTCTAAGTATCGTAACGAAAGCATTTACGGGTGTCGTAATTTGTAAAACAGTTCTGTTCACATTGTTCCACAATATGCTGGTCGCGATATGCACAAGAGAACGGTGTAAATGGATTGTAATTTAATGAAAGCAGAAAGAGGGAACGTAAAACGTGCCGCCCTGGGCGGCCGCTTGGTTCGCTGTGCTAGGACTAGGCCCTGTGAACTGCTGCATGTATGTAGTCTTACCGGGCTTACCATTCGTATCGGGTTTTATCTTGTTCAGCGGTCTCGGCCGGTTGTTTGAGAACTGAAGGAATGTTGCGGACTCCAATTTTAAGTCACCCTTCTGTACTCCTATAACAAGGTCTGGTCTCCAGCGAGACATTTTCGTTAGCGAGAACAGAGGAGTGCAGAACACGTGCTGGATGGTTTCGTTTACTACTCGGTCATGTCCTTGTCTGTACAATATCGAATGTTAAGATGACTGATGAATTATGAAGTTTATTGTATCCGGAAGGAACCGGCCGTCGTGGCCAAATCGAAGTACAATCCCGACATTTTCATGGAGGGACTGAGGAAAGCCACGAAAATTATCTCAGGAGAGCAGTTATCCCGACTGAGATTTGGAACAAGGACCTCCAGAATACAAGTCTAGAGCGGTACCACTACACCGCCCATTAAGGTTCTTTCTTCTTGATTTTAGGGGAGAGATGTGATCAGTTTTCAGCGTGTAAATATCTCCTTTCACGCTTCCTTCCATCCGTCCCTCATTCTCATCAAATATAGTCACGTATTAGTATGAGTGATTATAGACGGGGTTCAGATTTATTGGACTCTAACGGATCCGTGACTACAAGTAATTGAACCGTTTCGCTAATTCACACACTTCACAGTTCACTAGAGCACACATTTAGGTTTCGCAGCCTGCTGTGTCTTCACCTGTCTTCTGGCAACGCCTTCCAACTGCGGACGTTCTCCTTCCTCTGGGTTCCCGAATTATCCCCCGCCTCAGCTACCAGTTTCTAACAGCAACAACTCACAACGACTGAACCCCAACAGTCCTTTAACTCACCCACCAAATATTACACTTCCCTAACTGGCTAACTCTCACTGTTCTGCTTGTAATATCTCGGCACTGACCGCACAGAAAACACAGTCCCTCTGTTGCTGTTTACGGGCCATTACCTAGTAATGGCCCTTGTGTAGTTGTTTGTTTCGCGGTCGTTGTCTAGCAACGGGTCTACGTACCACAATGTACACCGGATTTTATTTCGAAAAATATGGTCATCCTGTTCATATAGCTGTATGACAAACCAATAAATGTTTTATGGTGTGAGCGACTTTTTCCTGGCAAAGATCCTGCATTTCTTTTCTTAACCACCGTTGTGTCCAGAACAGCAGTGAGGCCCACGATTTTCCAGAAACTGAAGTATTCCCCTCATGTCCATCCAACCTACACGTACAATGGGAGCAGTCATATCCCAATACTTCACGCCCCACGCTTGTGTGTGTTTGAAAGAGAGAGAGAGCTGGAATCTTGGTTTTATCGTTAGTTAATATGAAGTTTCCGTCCATAATTTCGTTTCCTGCTAGTCGTAGGTTTCGCGAAAGAAAGCCAGAACCTGATATACGGCATCGTTTCGTGAGAAAACAAATCGAGTCAGCTGAGTGCCAGCCTTTCACAAGAAACGTGGAAGGCATATCAACACCTTTGCCCTTTGTTTTCTTCTTGCTCCCACTTTTGGAGCACAGAGCTGATTTCTCCGTTTCATTGATCTTTTTCCCGGGGAAAGAGCCCCCGGTACCCATTGGATAGGAGGCTGGGCGTGCCCCAGAGTCTGTTTGGACGACGTGGAGAAGAGAAAATTTTTGACCCTACGGGAACTCGAACTCCGACCCCTTCCCTCGGTTGCCCAGCACGTAGCCAGTCGCTCCACCGACTGCGCCATCTCGGCTCTCAGGCCGGGACCATATATCCTGAGGTTTTCGTGGGTCTCCTCATTCCGTCGTTCATATAAGTTCTAATATTTTACACTGAGACGCATCTATTCGTCAGTAAGTCGTGTCTGCAGCAGGAATGCCAAAGCGGGCCCAGTGAGACAATGAGCTGTGTGACTTACAGACAGGTCAGGTCTCATTTTATTCAATAAATCTCAACAGAAATACACGAAATACATTAAAGCTTCTGATTTACCGAAGTCTTGACGTACTGCAGCAATTTCAGGGGACAGTGCCTACGTGATTCAGAGATATCAGAGATTACGAGTGTTTCAAAGCAAATGCTCAGGACAGTGTTTGGAATTGAGGGCTATGAACCCAAAGAGGAATGAAAAATAATTACATAATGAGGCTTTTCATTTTTTGCACGGTATCGTAAAATTGTGCCAGACATGTAAAGTAGTATGGATTGGGGTTACAGATAACCTACTGAGAGTTTTATTAACAATATTTCATGGAAAGAGGTCAATTAGAAGGTTGAGTGGACCAGACGTGAACCGCCTTGTTACCTTAAAATTTGTCAACCATGCATTTTTTGTGGTTGTAGTAAATTCCTTGCAGTGTGCATCATTAACTGCAGAGCCACGTGTGACGACGGGAGTTAGTACTAGAAGTTGACAACAGGTGGCACCCCAATTATGTTGCCGTTGTATTGACAATTGCATTACGAAGAACAGGTGTTGTGGAATTAGCACATGATTATTGACAGTAATATATAATGCACAAGATATAAACAAGAATGTGTCTTTATGAGAAATCCGTGATAACAGATTTAAGAACTGATCGCAGATGCAAACATCTCGCTGTTTGAAGAACGGTAAGAGTTCTCTCGTTGTTTGCGAGAGATTGGCGGCGTCAGGTCTGTTTTGCCCTGATGATCACGCAGGCCCGCACGGCGTTATTGTCCAGTTAGTGTGAGAGGAAAGAAGTGGTTGGTGGAGGAGAAGTTATTCTGGCAAGGCGTCGAATTATGTAGGGATGTGTTAAATATCGTAGTGTTTTGTGTTTTGCTGAATTTCTAGCGGGTGTTGTCAAGTGGCTCTGGGCGAAATTCGTTTTATATTACGACCATTTTTTTTTTAGTTTCGTGAATAGAATATTTTGGAATGCCGGGAGAAGCAGGGGGCACGGCGGGGGAAGACACAAAGCAATCTGCCCCCCAAACTGAGAAGACAGCTCCAGTTGTCAATGGTAACAATGTGGAGACATTACCAAGAGGAACTGGGAAACAGGTATTTATAGTGTTTTTGTGACTGTCATACATTTATTCAGGCATTCCGTGCCGGATGAGAAAAGAAACGTTTTGCGATAGCTTTTGGAGGCTGAGTTTGGTGGGGTGAGCTCCACGATTCCAAAGCAGATTCTTTGACAGTTATATTGGAGATGATCCAGCTTCCTAAAATCAACGTGGTTGTCACAAGAGATGTTGAAAGTTGCAGGTTAAACGGATTGTTGCCCCACCTCCAACGTTTTGTCCAACAACCTTATATTGCAGCGTTAATTTTTAGCGGTTAGCACCCTTACCACGTATTAGGAGGCCCCGGGTTTGAATCTCGGGCCGGAGAGCGGCTATCCGGACAGACTTTTCATGGGTTTCTCCACTTCACGGAGGCAGTTGTGAAGATAAACTTTCCGTTTTATCACTATATCCATGTTATAATTACAGCCATTGGAGTTGAAAAACTTACGCGAAATGGACCAAGAGTCAGTCAGTGAAGTTGAACCCAATGAAAGATTAAAGAAAAAAAAAGTGAATTCCAGTGACAGGCGGTGGAAGCCCATAGGGTTGTTAGGCGTCGGGCTCCCACATTTTCTAGACAGTCGACCCACAGATGGTGAGGTTGTCAGTGTTACGCGCCGGCCGCCCTTTACCACAAGGAAGGTTCCTGGTACTCATTTCTATTAGAAGTTTAGCCGACCCCAGGACTACAGTACGGCTGGAAGGATTAGGTCAATTGAAAAATCCAGTGACCTCATCGGGAATCGAACCCGCGACCCTCCAGCTTATACCATAGTGTTTCAACCAGCTACGTAACCGAGTGCCCCACGAAATTGTACCCATGCTTAGTTAATAAGCACTATGCTGTGAAGATGTATGGAGGAGGGGAGGTATAGCTCCAGCATTCATAATTTCAGCACTAGATAAAGGTGAGTGACCAGCATCACGCTATGGCCACTCTACCCCCGGGGAAAGAGGCTCCAATATAATAGGAGGTTGTGTGGGCCCCAGGGCCGGTATGAACGCTGCGATAAAGTAAGGTAAGGTTTCACCCGCGCTTAGGTAATTAAGCAGTATGTCATGAAGGCGTATGGGGGTGGATGTATAGATCCACGTATTTTTGATCTCGGCACGAGTTTGAGGTCAGTGGTCAGCTTTACTCCGCAGCCGTTTTACCCCAGGGAAAGAGCCCCTGGTACCCATTGTATGGGAGCCTGGGTGGGCTCCAGAACCGGTCTAGACCAGTGGTTCTCAACGTTTGTGAAACCGCGGCTCGGCAAGTTCTTTTATTGTAAGACGAGGGACCGGTGGTTGAGAAACACTGGTCCAGACGACGTGTAGAAGAGAAGAAATCTTGCCCAGATCGGGGCTCGAATTCCGACCTTTCGGCCGTCCAGCCCGTAGCTAATCGCTGTACTGACAGTCCTATACCGACCGATCTATCCCGGTTCCAAAACATCAGTAGGCCCTACCAAACTTTCTGGTGATTTATATCATAATTGTTTTTGGCGACAGAATGAACATTTTTAGCTTCAAGTGTAGAAGTTTAAAACGCTTCAGTTTGGTCAGAGAAAGGCTTCTGATTTTCGTGTGTTAATGTATCCAAGTCTTACGAAAAACTGTTCTCGTATCAAGGTCAGTACAGTGTAGAGTGGTTCAGTTTCATGCAGACATATTGGTATGGTGATAGTGCAGATGTCAGCTAGAGGATCCATGAATCAGATGGTGTAACTTCAGTCAGAATTTCACTCTGATGAATACTTCAGAGAAGAATTAGAAGCAGTAACAAGAGAACTAGACACCATGCAGTGACATGATACTTCAAGCTCATCAGTAGTGGAAATATTTATTAAACCAGGAGTACCAGCATAACGGATTTACATACGTACAGAATTTGACTGGTCAACTTGATGAAAATAAAATCACACGCTTCATCCTGATGAAATATCGACTTGTATTCCACCTCTGTGGTCTAGTGGTCAGAGTTCCTGGCTACAGATACAGAGGTCCAGGGTTTTGAGTCCCGGCGCTACCAGATTTTCTGAGAAGTAGTGGGTCTGGAACGGGGTCATCTATCCGCTAAAGTTGGGACTAACTTCGCCGACAAGCGGCGGTCGCTCGGTCGGTATAGTTCGCTTGCGTACTCAAGCCACGGAGTTTGTTTTGTTTGTATTGCGGTGCATAGACACTGGGCAGCAAATGAAGGACACGAAAAGCTTCTAGGGTAGTAGTAAAGACGGTACTCCATCAGTGCATAGTATCGCAATCCAGTCACTGAAGTGTGACATGTTGGTACAATTATTCTACAAGTTTGTTAAATTTATTGTATTGAAATACTGTATTGTCTATATTCTAACTGAAAAATATGAATGCACATTTTTTTGATGGTAAATAAGCGCACTGTAAAAGAATCGCTCCCATTGGTTGCTCCACTGTTTAGTAACCTGCCCAGATAGCACTAAATTCTGCTCAAACGGTTAGTACCTGAAATCGACGATCATCGGCTCATACCTACACATCAGTTTGGCTTCAGAAAAGGTCACGGAACGATCGAACAAGTACATCGATTAGTAAACCAAATTCATAGTGAATTTGAGAACAGGCGCTACTACTCAGCTGTATGTGTTGATATAAGCCAAGCCTTCGATAAAGTATGGCACATAGGCTAATTAGACAAACTTAAGTGCGCTCTCCCATATCCAATGTATTCCCTACTAAAGTCCTACCTTACCAACAAAACTTTTTTAGTTAAATACGACGAAGCCTATACCGACTTATACCATGTCTTACCCGGAGTTCCGCAGGGAAGTATCCTAGGGCCTATGTTATATTCCATATATACGGCTGACTTGCCAGAAGCCGGACAAACAATGCTTGCCACCTATGCCGACGACACAACAATACTAGCGTCTCACGAGAACCCTACTGAATCATCCCGGATACTGCAAACACACCTAGACCAATTCGAAGAATGGCTACAGCGCTGGAGAATTAAGGCCAACGAAACTAAATCCGTGCACATCACCTTCGCTTTGGGACGCGGAACCTGCCCTCCGGTACTATTAAACGGAACGCGCATACCACAAGAGGAATTCATCAAATACCTAGGCCTTCACCTGGACCGAAGGTTGACCTGGCGCACACATATTCTCGCCAAAAGAAAACAACTGGACATCAAATTTAGTCAAATGCATTGGCTAATTGGCAGAAAGTCAGGACTGTCTACCGAAAATAAACTCCTCGTTTACAAGACAATACTGAAGCCTGTTTAGACTTACGGCGCAGCATTATGGGGAACTGCAAGTACATCCAATATAGAAATGTTACAGAGATTTCAAAACAAAGTACTTCGCGCTATAGTCAATGCACCGCGGTACGGCCTAAACAGACTACTCCACGCCGATCTAGACATACCCACAGTACGTCAAGAAACCACAAACATCAGCCGTAAATACAAACACAAGATAACAGCACACCCAAATGAACTGGCAACCACACTACTAAACGGTGCAGACGAGCCCAGAAGACTGAAAAGGCATAAACCAGACGACCTAACGGCGCGCTTCATATAAATGCAATACACAAAATAACAAAGTCACATCCGAAATAGATTCCTAGAGAATGCTCACTGGAGCATTACTCTCCCCTACATGTTCTCTCTTAGTATTTAAGCTGTAGATTAAGTCTCACATAAGATGGACTTATAGCCCATAATGGGACTGATTGTACAAATATATGGAGATACAAAAAAAAAAGATAGCACCGAACTTAGAGGGAACATCAGTTTCTACCCTTTGTGATGTTACTACAGTTCCTTAGGAGAACTTATGGTTTTATTCTGGGAAATAGACTAGTACCTTCGACATCCGTGCATATAATTCTACGTAATTTTCAGCTACATAACCTAGTTCATGCTAGTGGTCATTTTCTAAAATAAAAAGAAATTAAAAGTACAAGGTTGGCTCGAAATGAGTTGGTTAACATTTTCTTATCACCCCAGGCATGTATCCTCGAATAAGGAGGTATGCACACATAATAATCCTTCCTTTTCCTCTTTAAGAAACGTTCCAGGTCTGTGACCCGGCAGATCACTACTGGTTTATACGTTACCATTAAGTATCCCACTGTTAGGGACCTTGCATGGGGACTCAGTAAGGAATTTCCGCATCACACTTCTGTACATGGTAACATATTTACTTGCTGCTGACCATATATATATGCTACAAGCAACAGTGAAAGAAGCTCGCCGTGAAATATGTCCCGTCGTATATGCATACCACGTCCGCTGGTTGCCGAGGCAGGTCTGATGATAATTCTTTCACTTCTACGCATGGTAACCGCCGTCAAATTTCCGTGCACTGACAGTAATTGCAGTAACTATTATATGGGTTGGATACCAGGAGAATCGGGTTTTGACTCCCAGTGGGGACAGAGATATTTCTTTTCACCACTGTGTCCAAACGGATTGTGGGTCGCATCCATCCAGCTGTCCAGCGGGGACCGGGGCTGTTTACGGGCGATAAACAGCCCGGATATGACGTTAACCACTCACCACCATCTAGTGCTGAAGGGTGGGAAACTGCAGCTGTATCGCCATAAGAATGCCAAGGCATGCAGTAGGCTGTAGTCCAGTTCTTTTGCCTTATGGAGAATGACCAATTGAAGCCCACGGAATTCAGCGCTTATCAGAGGAAATTTCACAAAGATCTTGCACAACACCGTAGATACTGTTACAGACTTTCAAGCATGCAAACCGGCACAGGAAATGTCATAAAACAATGACTGCGTGTCATGCGTTGCTACCATAAATTTGTGAATCGCCTAAAATTACCAGTTGGATTAGTACTGATTCTAGATCAAAATGAATGTTATACTATATATCATAGCAGGCATAAAAACTTTGTATAGACTCGCATTGTTTTAAACTCAGAATAGAAGGTAACGATTACTGACAATAGACGGAACAAAATAATAAACTAGCATAGTACATGATACATTTAAAGTATGAATGCA